ATGCAATTCAATTTGATGTTGATGATATTGCAATTTTTAAATCTATTTGGAAACTTTTGCAATGAAGGACAGCGAGATGATAGACTGCACAGTCCTTTCTTTCCGTTAATAAATTTTCTTATTGTGGTTTGAAATATCAATCCTTTATTTCCACGAAAAAAAATATCTACAAATTTGCATTTAAATACAATTAATAAGCATTCATTATTTTATTAACTGTCTATAAATACATGTATGACATTATGTTGTTAGAACCTCTTTGGTTTTCTATATTGTGTTTTGTGTACTGTTGTTTGTCTGTTTGTCTTTTTCTTTTTTAACCATGGTGTTTTCAGTTTATTTTCGACTTATGAGTTTGAATTTCCCTTTGGTATCCTTCTACTCTCTTAATGTATGGTATAGGAATTTCAGATGAAATTTGTATCTAACTTATCAACCAATATTCGTGTATTTGTTGTTATTCTCTTTAGTTCCAGTAATGCTTAAAAAGAAGAATTCTTCATGTTAGATGTTGTATCCTGTATGCTAATTTTGTTTTAAGATTTGTAAACATATGCTGAGGTGGTTTGAGACGACCAAAGTTCTATATATGTCTGTGTGATTTTCAATTTTTTATCAGTTTTTGTTCAGTGATGATCATCGGACTAAGCGGTATTACTCACACTCAAATTACAAACATAGCTGTTATGCTCTTTGTTACAAAACCAATACAAATAATGTAACAAAATTGAAAATTAGATGCCTCAAAGATATTCTAAATTTCCTTAAAGGAACAGAAGTATTCGTTTTGTCCAGTAATTTTGTGTATCAAATTAGGTAAGTTTTTTTATTAATACCATTTTACTATTCCTTTGATTTTGTAGTTCAGAATAAGTTGGAATGCCATCAAAATGAAAATAACACTTGTTAAATTTACATCATCTGGAGCGCTATTCTGGATTTATCTTCATCATAAACGCTCAAAACAACAAAATGAAAACAAAAGATGTGAGAATATAGAAATAAGGAAATGCTGTATGATTGCCAATGAAACAACTATCCATCACATCAGAGACCAAAGGTGTAAAGTAAGTAAGTTAGTAAGTAAGTAAGTACTTTTTTATCATTTATTATAGTGACACGTGTAGCATATAATTTTAAATTACACCCGGACCGTTGGACCTATAAGTCACTTTAAACTTAATGTTCATATTTTCAATTTGTGTATTTGAATAAAATTCCAGGACTTTACTAATACAAATTACATCTGTCACTTTCTTTCTCGTCAGTGATGCTCGAAATCAAAAAGTATCAAACATTGACATCAAAAAAATTTACACTACTAAAATTCAGAAAACCAATATTGAATTAAACATTCTAAAAATATTTGCAAGATTTGACTATTTGAACATACTTTACATTTACTCTTTCAGAAAATTCAAGTCTAGTATGTCATATTAGCTACACCTGTAATGACAAAACAATTATTTCAAAATAATACCATTTCGATTTTTTAATTGTCTCATTGTAATCTTGCTCATTTACCGTATTATTTTGCCATAATTCAGAGGTTATTGATAAATGAGACACCTATTAACTAGAGTCCAAATGAAGTGGATGTAAGCTGCTATAGGTCATCGTACAACCTTCAACAATGAGCAAAACCAATACCGTACAGTCAGTTATAAGACATACAAAATGTGGCGGGGTTAAACATGTTTGTGAGCGCTCAACGCTCACCTAACCATGAACAGTGATGTTACAGCGCAACTTAAGTATGAACTACCTGGTATAAAAATCAGTTGATAACTCTTGAACTAATCAGATTGACTCGAAGCACAAAAACATCAAATCTACAGACAAAAGACACAAAGTACCGAACTAAGAGTACTCGTGGTTTCTGAAAGCTAGATTAAAGCGTATTTCAACTATTTAATAAACCAAGTTTCCCAAACTAAATTATCAATTAGTACACATCCAAATGATTAATTGTAAAGAGGTTATTTATAAGAAAAGCATGACCTTGTGCAATGCCAAAATATAAGTATCGACAGGAAGATAAGAACATAAGTATTCATATTTTTTCAAAGGATCAATAATTTTGTATGGATCGCATCCAAATCTGTTTGCTGCATAAACAACACCACCGTAGAACTTAGGAGATACAGCCTAAACTTCAATACCAAATCTGTTCATCAGTCAAAGAATTAAGTAAAGCTTTTCAAAAGGTTGTTTATGTTAACGAAGTCACAGGCTTAATAATTTACCAGTTATACATAGATTACGTTTATTGAAATTTAAAATGTCACTACAGACACGGGCATATGATACAGATTTGGAGCTGATGATACGAAATCGTTATTCTTTCCGTAAATGCATTAAAATAAAAATACAATCTGTAATATCATGACAGACAGCTTAACACAGTTCCAATAACATATTAGCTATTGTCTAATCGAGAGACGTTCTTTCCACGCTCCCGTTGAATGCCAAAGCTATATCAAAACTCTTTGATCCAATTAAGGATCTTTGAACCTATATTTTTTAAGAGATTACCCTGTTTTTTTTTATAGTTCTCACAGAAAAAGATTTCCACCTACAAGGTTTTAATATGTTATACTGTCCTCATTTCGTTCATTTGAAATTTATTGCCGGATTGAGAAAACAATATATTCAAAAAGAAGTAAGACATTATGTGGAAGTTATGTTATAAGCATGATTATTTAGTGCATCACTATCGGCTTTAGGTGAAGATGCGGACAGTTTGACTCGATGAGAATAGATCTGATGCTATTTCATAATTTATTTTATTTTATTAACACAATGTTCTGTTGAATTTTTTAAACATTTCATTTGTAAGTGAGTGAAAAGCTATCACATTTGGTGTTTGTTAATGCCTCTTGGTTGATTTTCTGTCTAATCGAAAGTATAAGCATTGACTTCTAATCCATTTACATTTGATGTGTCAGTTAATATACACAAGGCTTATCCTTCACGTCATGCTGTTGCGTTTTTGATATATTCAGATTAGCTTGTGTTTGGTCTTCCTGGTATGTAACAGTTTTGAACTCTTCTTTGCTGTTAACAGAACCGGTATGCTGTTAACAGAACCGGCATGCTGTTAACAGAACTGGCATGATGTTAACAGAACCAACATGATGTTAAGAAAGTACTTGTAATCTTTCGTCTGTAATATGAGCTTTCCAACATTTCGAGCTTGTCCTCTTTCTAAATTTTCCTGCAATGATTAAATTCCTGATGCTAAAGCTTTAATGTGACGAGGTTTTACTATGGATATGGTCAAGTACTTTATAAACAAATCGTTATTGACTTGTAAAGATTTGTTATATTCTTCCAAAATTTTCATTTTTGCACTTAACATGTCAGTTTTTCTAAAGCTTTAGCAAAGTTTTTTTCCCATTCTTCCAAAAAGTTGCTCTGGTTTAAATCGTATAACATCCCTATCATTGTCAAGATAATTTTTAATGTAGCCTTTCTAATAATTTTGATAATGTGGTGTGCCACAAGTAGCTATCTGTTTTACAGCTGGCATGTCAATTTCATGGGTTACTGTTGTAACCTTTAATTTTGTCCGTTAAAGCTTAGAGTACATAAACATAAAACCTTGTGCATGTATGAGGCCTGCATTTAGGAAAAACATGTTACTTTGCACATTAGGGGATGATCTCCATATTCAGATTAAATAAGATGAAGTGGTAAGATTGCCGATGAGACAACTATCCACCAGAGACCTAATGACGTAGATATTAGCAACTATAGGTCACCATACGGCCTTCAATGAGAAAAATTCATACTACATAGCAAACTATAAAAGGGCCTGACATAACAAAACGTAAAACAATTCAAACGAGGAAAACAACGGCCTGACTTATGTTGATAGCTCAATGCAAATTGCCAAGTTACCGCTTGATTTCATACACCAGTCCTTGGGTGCATCACAACAGTTAACAACATATTAAGGTAACTTTCCAAGTAATTATTAAAACAATACATGGAAGCTTTACCTCCAGAATTCTCATCGCTTAGAAGTGACTCAAATCTCTTTCATACTGGCTTGTTCCTCGTTCAAATGTATGTCTTTTTACTCATACATTGTTCTATTTGCCTTGTCACAATTAAGTGGGTATATTTATCGGTGGATACTCTTATTTCATACTACTCATGAAGGTCATTTGATTGAGTTAAAACTTCTACAGATTTTGAAATGCCCTCCATCATGTTTCAGAAACTGTTAGAACACGTGTGTAAGAACTATTGCGGTCAGTTGATTGCTATAAATATACACTCTAGAAAGAGGTTTATGTTGAATAATTTCATATAACCTGTTATAGTTTGTGAAACACCATATCAATGTTAAGGCGGAAATCAAGAAATTTGACAGTTGTTTTGCTCACTAAAATTGCGGCTTCCATTACAAGAACAGATAACTCATAACGTTTATATAGCTATAACTAACTATACTGCATGGGGTTTGCTCGTTGTTGAAGGCCTAACAGTGCCCAAAGTTGTTTGCATCCTCGTCCTTAATGTCTTTGTTGAAAAGTTGTCTCATTGGCAATCCTACCACATGTCCTCCTATTTATTGTTATAAGCATTGGTTTACAAAACATTAAACAAAATACAAAGATTGAGCAACAGAAACAATACCGAACTAAGACAACAGTAGTTTACCGATTTTAAAATCTCGTAGATCGGGTAGAAAGAGACAAATCAAGGTAACAAATTTAGCTGAGAAAATCGCAAAATTTTTAAGAACAACAAGACCGGGTGCGTGGATAGGGTCAGCGTCTCCTGATAGGCATATATCAGCCGTTAAGCGAATTCACACTCCGTCAAAATGTCATTATCAGTAAAATTACAGGTCAGATGTCTTTACTGGTATCTTAAGATCAAAACCACACAAACATATCGCTAGTGAGTTGAGACACCAAGGATTAACATTGATGCGCCAGAAGTGTAACATGTATTATTCGTTAAAGTTTAAAATGAAAAAGAACAAATTCTATTAATTCAACTCTTTATATCAATATATTTTATAACAAAATGTCATATGTAACTGTTATATATAACTTACAAATTACATATCACCATATTACATCAATTATTCCATTGCACTTCTTCTGAATTTCAGTATCAAAGAGGTATCAATGCATCTTACATTCCATAGATTCCATTTACTTTAAAAATTAATTGTACTTATATGATTGAAAGGAAGATAAGTTTTCCAAATCTAATCTTAAGATATAACTCAAGATTATAAAAAAAAACAAATGTTCATGGAAAAAGGAATGTTGGTTGCTTTATCGGCAAAGAAATAATTCGATTCTATTTATTATGCTGATTGAATCTTTTTGATCTATTTCTTGTACTGCTATGCTTGAGTCATTTTGAAACGATAGCATTATCATTCAAACGAGTTTGAAATTAGAAACAAAAATCTGTAAAGATATTATTTGATAAATCAATTTGTTACGTTTGTATACAACAATTCTAGAATGACCTTATTTTTCACTTCTCTTAAATTTTAATCATAGTGATTTAATTTAAGACGGAGAATAACAGCTATGCCAAGTTATAACCATATGGTTTAAAAGTAAACGTACGAATTTTGAAGCAGAAAAGAAACGCCTGTTTTGCTTGAAATAATCTAATCGTGTGATTGATTAAGAGTAGTCAAAAATATTATCACAAATAGGAAACACAATTCAACATTCATAACTCACATTTGCACTACTTTATACAATGAAATTTCTCTATACAAAACAAACACATGTAAACATAACTTAGAAATATTGCACTTTTGCTTTATCACGAATCACATGAGAAAAAACGAAAACTAAATAATAAATATGACTTTGTCAAAATAAAAATAAAAATAGCAAAACTAAATAAATAAAACATGGCAGTGGTTTACAATTTGACTAGAAAAAAACAAAGATAAGTATCTAATGACAACTTATATTTATGGTATTTACAAAGACTTATTAAACATTAAAAAACATTGTCATAATGCATAATAATGAACAAGTTTTTTACTTTAACCTATTGGTAAAGTAAAACCAATATGAATATATGCCATGATTAAACATTTCAATAATGAGTGACAGGTACAAAATATGTATTTAACACTGACAGCGATGCATAAGTTTAATATAAGGATTCAAAAAGGAGGACGAAATTGGCAATGTAAACACCAGACTTCTCTTTGTAAATACTTAATATATTGCTAAAGCCGTATCCATTAAGGATAATTGAAAAAAAAACTAAACCAAAACAACAACATAACACAACCATATTAATAACAATAATGATAAATACTGTAAAGTCATTTACCTGATGGTTATCATATTTAGTGGGCGATGAGTAAGAAGCAACAGTGATTTACTTATGTACAAGAAACAGTTGTTGCTTCATTTAGTTTGATTTAAAACAACCATTCCATTCTATAGAATCTAAGCAGAATGATTAGTTTTAGTTTCTGAGAGTCATGGTTTGACTCTACTAAAAAAACCCGAAACACGATTATGAAACATATAATAATGCGTTATTGATAAAACCAAAAACAGAGAAAAAGGAAAATCAAAATGCCCAATGTCATGTTTCACATCCCAAAAATTGCTCTATAAATATCCGACATGAGGTCGATAAATTATAAATTGACAGTTCATCATGTAATCATAAAATAACATGAATATCAATATAAAGTATATTTGTAAACATAAATTATGATCTAATATTTACACATTAAACATAAATACTGATTTGATATTACATGCTAAACATAAATACTGATGTGATATTTACACACTAATCGTTTTGATCTTTAATATTTAACCAGCATTTGCATATTAAATATACAAAGGCACAATGTTTCAAATGCTTAAACATCTTATTATTTATTTGGTTACTGTTTTTGACAACTGAACTTAAACGTTTGCAAGGTTCACTTGCTTCAAGACATTCATTGTCACTTCATTAACAGAAAGACAAGTTTTGTGACAACGTAAGGGAATCATTTTACGATTTAACCTATCGCATATCAAGAAAATATTCCTCTGATACATATTAATCATCTGGCAACGACTAAATACTGATTACCACATACAATATTTTGTTTGGTCACTTAATTTAAACTATAGTAAAATCGTCTGTGTAGCCTTTGTCTGAGGACCTTGTTCTGTCTGTTAATATCACAGCACCTCCAATTTCTACAGGTCTATAATGCCTACAATGTAACAAACAATGACAATTAAAGTGTTTTTAGAAACAAAAGTTAGGTTCCCCGTTCTAATACAAACTTTTTTTTCTATTGGAAACCATGATAAATCAATTTATGTATTCGCCAATTTTTTTGGCATGGTCAAGCTACCCAATTAAATTCTTGCTGATCATAAATGAATATAGTATTGTTCACTTATACATGGTGTGAAGTCGTTATTTCAAGACTGGTTTCATTCTGATGAGAGGTACAAAAAATTTTACGTTAATATGTTTTGCGATGCACTGATACATAGATGGTAGAGAGACGAAGAGGATATGTCAAATCAAATCCCTACGTATGTGGAGAGACTCAATTCTAACGTGTAGTCCCGTTTTTCGTTAATGGTGAATTGAAATACTCAATAAAACTTGACCAATAGAAAGTTGTCAATGCATTTTGCATTTACCGATGCGAACCACTTTCTGGTATTTGTTTTTGTATGCTTCTAAAAAATTTGAAAAAGTTAATGGTCTATCTTCAATTTTACCTAGGGTAAGCCTCAATTTTCAGATATTCACTCCGCTATGCTTCACAAAAATATGGCCAACCAATGATCAAAATCTCAAAAATCAACTTACTGTTATGAATTACTTCTTAGTCAACATTAAAATGAAAATTGTTCACTTTATCCCTGGATTTTATTTTAGGGGTACTTGACAAAAGAAAGTTGGGGCATGACAAAATTGAAAACAATAAACATGGAAGACAGCAACACACGACAACCATTAAATTACAGGAACCTGACTTTTGACAGGCAAATAAAGAATGTGGCGGTGTTAAACATGTAATGGGCGCTCCACCAATAGTTCCAAAAGAAAATATGTGACCAAATCCTCTGGAATTCCGAACGTTATCTTTATATCGTTATTTTATAATGTGAGAGAAACTATGATTATGGTCACTTTACAAAAAAAAATTGTTGTTGTTGGTTGCAATTATTTTATAGTCTATTTTGAGTTTATTCACATCTTTCGAAGATTTCGGACAATAAACTACTTCACATAAGGTAAAGACGCTTATCTTTTGTTAAAAACTATATGTTGACCTCTAGATATTTAATAGTTTTTATGTCGTTGAATTGCAGTTTCATTTACGTATATCGCACATATGCTTTTTCATCAGCAGTCCAGTAGCACTTCTGTGCTAAAATGAAATATCATTTTTGTAAATTTACTATTGAGTCTTGTGTAGACAAAACACGCGTCTTACGTAACAAATTATTAAAATGGTATTACAAAAAAGTACTAACAAAAATAAGAACTCCAAGGTAGATTCAAAAAGGGGGAAGTCCATAAAAACTGACAAATCAAACGTTAGACTATATCAACCAACAGAACGAATGGAAAACATATTCTTGACTTTGTACAGGCATTTTTCGAAGAAACTGGTGGGTTAAATATGGTTTTATAGCTAGCTAAACATCCCACTCGTATGACAGTTGTTTATAGTAACGATATATTCACAAAATTTGTTGAGCAACCCAAACAGACATAACTGGTTAATTTAATAATGTTGGATTCCAGCAGCTAAAACTGTGTAAACATACAACACGACTGATTGAAAATTATTGTAGTTTATAGTTAATCTGACAAAGACGTACAAAAAGAGAACGAAGTTTTGTTCATATGTGAAGACAGAAATTTTTCGAAATCGCGAATCTCTAAAAAAAAAACAAAACGTAAAAAATATTAACAAAAAATGAGATTAAGTGAAAAGGAATGGTACATAATCTTAACAAATAATCAAATCAGTTGACCGACAGTGTCTGCTTTTTCTACGGTGAATTGACTTAATTGTATATACCTATCCAACAGTCTGACAGCTTCTTCGTCCTGTTCTGTTGAACTTGCTAAACCCTGTCTTGCAAAAGAGGCCACCAGTGGTTTGTTTTCATCACTTAATGGTGTCTGTAAACTGACATCATATCTAGTTTTTGTATGAGGTGTAGATCTGCCTACTATCAAAATATAAACATCCCTCAATTTATATTAAACGATAGTTACTTTATGTCACAAACTATCTGAGACAATTTGCAAAGTATCAAAACAAAAAAGAACAAAATTTGATTACTAATTTCAAACAAAATCTTTTTTACATCAACAATTGTTATTATAAATCACTTATATGTCAGCACTTAAGCTAAAACATGTGATACTTGTTTTCTATAAAGTAATCCTAAGTCAATAATTACTTAGCAATTTATTGTCATAGGATGTCATTTAACATCAAGAATATTAGATTAACATAGCTTACCTCTTTTACTTATGCTGTAGTCTGATTCAGGATAACTTTCATGTGGATATGAAAGATAACCTTCAGATGGACTGTATAGCGGTGGCGTTTCTTTGCCTCCAAATGTATAAGTTATCTCTTCACTGCTCGTTGTGCTATTCATACTAGGCGTTCTAAAATAAATAAGTGATTATTTCATTTACAACGACAAATGAAGAATGTTCAATGAGGATCAATTAGTAACATAACAATTGTGTGAAAAAAATAATATTTGGAGGGTTCAAATTTCGTTATTTCATCATTAAATCCTATCATATTTACTAATAAATTCGTGTTCCGGCGATTATTTAAATTTAAAATCTGTACCCACGAAATCGACGAAAATTGGCATCAAACAAAGATACATTAATCTAAAGAATAACCCTTGCAAGTGTTTTCAGTACCCTATGGTAGCATCATTGTATTATGGACCATTGGGATTCAATATTAAGGTATAGATCTTAACAGCAGGCATGTTTGTATCCGACTGATTGTCCCCGCGGGTATTTACTGTATCCAAGGACACAATGAGGTCTTTAATTTTTATAAACTTACAGATTTTTCCCAAATTGTTCTCATAAATAAAATAAAACTAACATTTCACTCATCTGCCCTTACTTTTTGTTGAAGCTATGTTTATTTTTCAAAGTAAAAATATTTTAAACGAAATCATCTGCAAATACTGATATGTAGAAAATGAACAAATACCTCTTTACATTTTGGGAAACATTTCTTTTTCCTGTCAATTGACCCCTTTGTTTAGTTTTATGTTTCCCTCTCGTTTTCCGTGGATGTACAGTAGACTGTTTTCCAATTTCTGTCACGTCTGTTTCTATGTCTATCTTCTGTCCTGTCCATTTCTTATCTGAAACGAAAAAGAGATTTGAAAAAATGCTTAGTTTGGATTAGGGTTTTTGCTAGCCTTTTTTATTTCCAGCATTTCAATATGTCGAGGATTGAAATATAATGTCTTACATTTCTCCGCGTTACACAGAATAAGACAACCCTCCCCCACCCCCCAATGTTCATTTATTTATAACCGAGAAGCCTTTTGAAATGATCGTTGTGTGTCTTATATATGCTCCCGTTGTAAAAAAAACATTACCTTGTTTAGGTCGAAATTGGCAAGCTGCCTCTCTTTGTTCATTGGGTTTAGGTGGTGATTGGGTGAATTGAAGAATACCAGGTTCACCAGGACTATCAGTAAGCTGTGAACTAGTATCCTGTTGTGATTCATAAAGGACAGACGGTGGAGGATTACGCCTAGCATTCTCTAACGCTTCCAATAGTTCATCACGGCTTGAAGATACTGTCGTAACACTTGATATAATACTATGTCTTAAACTTGCTGCAAAAAATAGAAAAGTTGAACACTGTGATAGATGTAATTCTCTCATTTTGTTTCGGTTACCTTGCTCTAGTGTTAATTTTATTGTGTTTTTAACAGATTTGTTTTAAAAATGTGTTTAATTTTGTGACTATTTTCAGATATCAAAGTCCTACCTCCCAAATTTAATTATTGCCTTTAATGATTTGAAAAGACCGTATACCCTAATGATTGCAATGTTGGTAACATTCAATGTAAAAATAGATTATTAATGCATCAAAGTCAGCTTTGGTGACGTTAATTAAAGTTTATGATATTCGCATGACGGGTGATGCATGCATATCAGGAGACCCTAATCAAGTACTGGCACCCAGTATCGCTCCGTTTTGAATGGATGCGATTCCATTAGATTTTTCTATTAGTAAGTAAATCTCAAATAGATTTTCGATAAACTATTTCTTAAATAACCCCATCATCATGGTAATGGGCCTGTCTCAAATCATCAACCCTACAAGAGGACATGAGTGGTTTTCTTTTGTCGTTTCGTAAAAGAGGGGCGAAAGATACCAGAGGGACATTCAAACTCATAAATCGAAAATAAACTGACAACGCCATGGCTAAAAAAGAAAAAGACAAACAGACAAACAATAGTACACAAAACATAACATAGAAAACAAAAGACTAAGCAACACGAACCCCACCAAAAACTGGGGGGATCTCAGGTGCTCCGGACGGGTAAGCAGATCCTCCTCCACATGTGTTGCGTCATTCGGAGGATTTGATGGGATGGCAGTTTTTTTTATAGAACCCGATAAATTTATTAACCTGTCTATTGTTGAAGCCCGTGCGTCTTTTGTTTTTATGTTTGTGTCTGGTTACTGTTTCTTTGAAAAATACCCAATATCACTGTTTATTATTTTTTCAAAAATGCAGATGTCCATTATGACAGAAATAGTGTACTTTTACTAGTATTACCTTTTAAATGAGCAATATGACCTTCATTAATGAAAGAGTTCTGTGATAAGTTTTAATTCCTAATACAGTATACGAAAAGGCTTTCTGTCAGAATTTGAATCACGATCTTAAAATACATTCTCTTATGGTAGTGGCCTGTTATCTATTTCTTGCATGAAGAGATATATCTCATATTACACTGCACGGAGTGTAATACGAAAAGGTGATACGAAAACTGCGTTACTTTGATTGGCTTATCCAGCATCATGAGACGATATTACGACATTTCCATTGGCTATTCGTTAGGTCATTGATAACGTTCAAAGGTTAAGACGATGCGCATTTCGTCATGGCAACGAAAATATGTGATTTCTTCAATAGTATACAAAACACTCACAATTTTCACTTGTAAATCTTCTTTTTGCCAAATTTTATTACATTCTGAAGCGTACAAAAAGTTTTAGAATGTCTGAAGTTAAAGTTTGACGCCGGCAAAGGACATAGGAGGTCACTCATGGTATGTGCAAAAGACTAGACCAACGATTCGCTGAATTTTTAATTTAACATAAAAACACAAAAAGAGTGTTGACTATAAGAGAAATAGGTTTAGCAACTCGTGAGAATTGGATATCGGCTTATATCAAATCTCGTTTTCTAATTTAAATAGTAATAATAAACTCGCCGAAGGTTCATTTATTATTATATTGAAATTAAATAACTCGAGTTGACATCAAGCGATATCTAATTCTCACTTGTTATGAAACCTATAAATAAATGATGTTATCTTGACATTTTGTGTTTTACCTTTATCATCAGAAGCATGATGTGGTGTATTCCTGACTTTTCCGTATAAGTTGTGTTGTCTTCCATGACTAGTTGTGAACAACGCGTGTATTTGATCTGCACTGGCATATTTACGTGGGCTCAAAGCCATACCTAAAGAAACAGATGATATCGATATGTAGGTTCGTATATGCATAATTAAAAAGATAATTTATTGCTCGTCATCAAGTACTAAACATTATAATGTAAATAAATGAGAGTAAAGCGTGTATTTGATATCTGCACTGGCATATTTACGTGGACTCAAAGTCATAACATAAAGAGACAGATGATATCGATATGTAGGTTGTATATGCATAATAAAAGATTAGTTATTACTAGTATTTGTCAGCAAGAAAAAGCCCCAAGCAACATCGTTTTAAGTGTAAATCACATTACATAAACTGCTTGATATAGGTATTAGGTATTGACAATTCACTTGGAAATTCGACATTTACCCCTATGACACTTACAAAGGAATAAATCCTGAGTAAACACAGGTCTGTTCTATGCGCCTTTGGATCCTCATTCAATGTATTAGATACCTACATTACATAAATGTCCTTACAAGCAAAGTTTTATTGCTGGGCCATCCAAGTCCTCCTAGAAACCTTTTTCTAGACTTCCCTTTTTTAAATTTACCTTGGACTTTTTTGTTAATATTTTTTTTATCTGTAATCAAAGCCGGCTCCAAAGTTCTTATGAAACTATCTACTCTAGGGGCGATGTTAATCAGATGTGGATACTAAAAGATTCCAAAGATCTGTTAGAGTACATACAGTCTAAGTCTCTTTCCTCTTGCAATAAGATTATAACATTAAGACATTTCTACCCTTTTCACAAAAATTACCATTTCTAGACTAAAAGAAAAAATTAAAAAAATGGTCCTGGTTTGTTTCATAAAAAAGAATGGCCAAAGTACATGCAAGCATCTTGTCTTAGGGAGGGATAAATCGTACGCTGTTAAAACACTCGAATTCAAACAAAATTTTTTCTGAAACTGACATTATCAAGTTGCATGATTTCTTGATTGACAACATATTTGTTATGTTTCGAGGACGTGTTTTTCAACAAACAATCGGCCTTCCCATGGGAACCAACTGTGCTCCTCTTCTTGCCGACTTGTTTCTATATTCATACGAGGCAGAATTCATACATGAGCTTCTTCAGAAGAATGAAAAGAAGCTTGTATTATCCTTTTACTCCACATTATTCAAACGAAAAAGCAATCCGTCTGATGTAGGGAACGCACTTGTACGTCATCTTATCATTTTTATACAAAACTACTAATTTTCTAACACCTTACAAGAAGCTTATGATATATCATTAATGATTTCCAATAAACAAGTCATATTAGTTGCATTTTCAAATAATCATTGTAAAATTTGAAAACCATACCTTCATTGTCATATCCCTCGGTGTTGGATGTTGGATTAATGTTTGGAGGTTTAACAGGAGGAACTGGGGCTAATTTCTCAGGATATTTTGTCTTCTGCTTATAAAATGGCACGTACGGCTCGGTCAGCATCTAAAAAGAGGAAAATAACATTGAAAGATAACCTGCAAGACAATAAAAAAACTATAAATAATATGTTGTTTCCTACTTGTAACATTCGAAAAGGAAAGAGTCAAATGAGGCAATCTTTAATCCCTGTTGCTCCCATCACTAATTCAAAAATTACAAAGCATAACAGAATCTACCATATATTATCCTCTATCCCAAAGATATGTGTCAATAATGACATATTTGAATTTTGTCTCACACACTTGATCTCGGCATTAAAAATTTCGAATAAACAACTAAAGTGAAAAGACAGAAATTGCAATAATTTGCCACAATTGAAATTTTGAATAAATTTATAAAACTAGATGCTCTAAAGAGCCTGTGTTGCTCGCCTGCATCTTCAACAATGACAACTTTACAGTAAAGATCATCATTAACGAGGAATAACTCTATTAAGGGTTAACTGACAATTTCAGTCATGTTGACATATTTGTAGATCTTATCCTGCTGATATTTTTTTCCTTTTGAAGTTTCTATTTATGTGTTAAAGTTTTCAAGAAAATAGGCAAAAATGCATAAAAATGTTAAAAATTATCATTTGAAGGACAATAACTCAAATAAAGAGTCAACTGAAGATTTCGGCCATAATGGCTTATTTGTAGATCATGTATTGATGATCATTTGTGCTATTTACAGTTTCTATCTATCTATAACAGTTTTCAAGATAACAAGTAAAATGGTGAAAATCATCATTAAAGGGCAATAACTTCAATAAGGAGTCGAATAACTATTTCGGTTATGTTGACTTTTGTGTAGAAATTGTCTTGCTGGTCATTTTAAAGTCTCTATCTTTCTATTATAGTTTTCAAAATAATAGGCCAAGAATGAAAAAAATGGGAAAAAAAAATCATCATTAAAGGGCAATAACTCTAATAAGTAGCCGACAGAAGATTTCGGCTATTTGACTTATATGTAGACCTTGCCGTGCTGAACATTCTCCCTCTTTAAAGATTCTATTTATCTATAATAGTTTTTAAGATATTAGGCAATAACGCAACAAATTGGTAAAAATCGTCATTAAAGGGCAATAACTTTAATAAGGAGTCATGTTAACTTATTTGTAAATCTTGTCTTGCTGATCATTTTTGCCCTTTAAGTTTCGAGATAATAGGCAACAATTTTAAAAATGGTAAAATTTTTCATTGAAGGGCAATGACTCCTATAAGAAGTTTTGACATACATTGACAATAGGAAGAGCTCAACATTCTGAACATTTTTACCCATATCAATTTTTTTTTATTTATAGTGATTTTCGAAATAATAGGCAAAACTTGCATTTTACCCCTATGTTCTATCTATAGCCATGTCGACCATCTTTTTTGATAGGCGATATCATCGTCAGTTTCAGAGGAGAAGATTTTTGTAAGGGTTAACGGACGACGAAGGCCAGGTGAGCTAAAAAGCATTGAAAAAGTTTACATGTTCGGCAATATCAAGAGACAAATGATGGCTCTTAGCATACTTTCGTTTCTATGTCCAATTCCGTTATTACGCATATAATAATTCCCACTTAGGACAACTTATCAAAAATTTCGTTAAGGTGTAGCAAGTGACTTGAGAAATGTTACACTTAGACCAACGTTTGATGTTTTTGAAATTGCCACGCGTTTAATGATTTTGAAAATACTTACAGCTCTTTGAGCTTCTGCCTTTTCAAGACTTATATCATCCATATCGTTTGTTGTTCTTTCTGTAAGTGCTTGCTTCATTTCATTAAACGTTGCATAAGGATTAATGTTACCATCGTCATCTAGAATGAACATAAGTAAAACTGCATGACATTTAATTTTTTTTTCAGACTTGAACTATTACTCATTAGGAAAGAGAAAAACACTTTCTTTTAATATGTACATTTAAAAACTCATAACGTTTAGCAGAAAGGCTATATATAGATGAAAGCTGTCTAGTATTTAATATCATCGTGAATAAAACTAATAAAAGTGATGTGATTATTCTCTTCAATATAATGTTTATAACTGTAATGCATCTGGTTGTGATCATAAAGACCGTTTCCATACCTGATTTTTCAAATGATCCATTTTCACTATTACTTTTACTCGTGTCCGTGTTAAACAACCACGATGGACTGTTTTCTAGTAAATTGTCATCCGAGTTCAAGGACATCAGAAGGTTTACATTTCTTTTGGTGAAAGGTTCGGAATTGCCACTGCTGCTGTCGTAGTCACAGTTTAATCTTTTGTCAAGATCGTTCATAAGGGAAGTTTCTGCTGTAATGTCTCGTCGGAGATTTGAAGATAATTCTGTAACATAATTTATGAATAAAATTGTCAAATATTAGATTTTTAATTTCTGCGGCATAACTTAACAATAATTCTTTATGAATATAAAGCACTCCGTTTACGAAAATTGTTTTATTCAAAAAACAATTGGGGGAAATACAGGCAATCAAAGTACAACTTAACCATATTTCGTATTAAATATATTGTTTGACTTATAACGTCATCAAAAGAAAGATATAATTTTCAAATGAAAATACAACTCATAGGTTTATTAAACATGCAGTTGAGATCAATTCTAACCTCTCTTAAAATCTGTTCAAGAACAGTTTGTAGAACAGTCCCCTTAACCCATGAAGAACAGCTTCTGACAGAAGTTTTTTTTATCCTAGAACAGTTTTGGGTCATCAATGCTCTTCATCTTTAGGCCTGGCACCTTTGATAACTATTAGCTTGTCGTAATGTTCTATTGTATTTTTTATTTGTGTGTTTTTCTGTTCTGTATGTTCTTCCATTTATTTGTATTGTAGTCCTGTCATGTAATGTTGTCATTTTAGTGTTATATTCAGGTTCAACCCACCATTTTTTCTTAAAATGTCCTGTACCAAGTCAGGAAAATGGCTATTGTTATCTTATAGTTCGTTTCTGTGTGTGTTGCATTTTAGTGTTTCTGTTGTATCTTTGTTCTCCTCTTATATTTGATGTGTTTCCCTCAATTTTAGTTTGTAACCCGGATTTGTTTTTTCTCAATCGATTTCTGAATTTCGAACAGCGGTATACTATTGTTGCCTTTATTGGACAATTCAAAACGAGAACAGATATTGATAGTTCTATCCTAGAACAGTTTTGGACAGTTCGACACTAGAACTGATTCTAACAGTTCTTTGACATATCTTTCTGCCAGTTTTAGAGAGAAGTTACAACAAATTCCAACTGTAATCACACACGTGCTTAACCGCTAAGCCATTGTAGGTGGACGTTTACAAATACTTCAAAACATGATGTTCATTAACCTCCTTTGCTAATTGAACTTAATATTTTGACCCTTGGAACAATTACCTGTATTTTTTGGTTACAAAAGAACAATAGTATCTTTAAATAATTTGAATTGTTCTACACATGCAAAACGCTGCCTGTTTTTATCTATCATCCTGTTTATGCTTCAGTAATCGTAGGCTTCTTTTCTGATTGGTAAAGTTGACCTTTAATAGAATGATTTGATATTTTAGCACTTGAAAATTTATATCTCATAAATGTTACGAGATAAAAAACTTGTGTTGATGTAATTATTTTACACATGCACACCGCATGTGCTTGCCAAATTAGTTAAAATCTATTCAGTTGCAATATTTGCAGAAACTGTAGCATATATAAACAATAAGGAAATATTGTATGTAAACTTACTAAATGTATCTTTGAGTCTGAGTAATTCTCTTTTCCTTTTGCAATAAAGTAAAACTCCAACCAGCAGTACACAGGTTGATACAATACCAGCACACAGAGGAATCATCACAATTTCCTTTTCATAAAATCTTCTCTCATATTTGTTAGATATATAGATAGGAGTTATTAGTTCTGAAATTAAAAAAACGTTAAACATTACTATCACATTCTTCTCACGTGAACAGTTACACATAAACAAACTCATCATTGATACCAGGATAAAAAAATTTGTATGCCAGACGCGCTTTAAATTTATTTTGAAAGGTGCTACATTGTACATGAAGTATGATTAGCTTACATTACTGTTTAGTCCAGTTTTTGTAATATCCTTTTGGCGTGGCTCGGTACTTATGCATCCTGCCATTGTATTGTTGTGCTGTGGTAATTTTTTGTATTCTTGTCTTTCAGTTTTGTTTATGTGCTTTGTCTATATGCCATTTTGTTTTTCGTTGTTGACAGATTTGTTGGTTTTTATAGTGATGAAGATTATAACACAATGTGGACTGCTGTACCCCTATTTTTGACATTTTTACCTATTATGTCTGTTTGTTTTGTTCACACATTGGTGTCAGTATAAAAAAATTTTATGCGACTGTCATACAAGTGAGAGGTTTAGCTAGCTATAAAACCATGTTTAATCCACCATTTTCTACATAATAAAATGCCTATACCAACTCAAGAATATGACAGTTGTTTTTGAGCTTTTGATTTTGCCATTTGATGAGGGACTTTCCGATTTGAATTTTCCTTGGAGTTCGGTATTGTTGTTATTTTACTTTTTTCCGTGTGACACATTTTTTTTAAATATACATTTAATTTGTAGAAGGAGAAATTGTACACACCTCCATGATAGTTAAGGGTTGCAAACTCTAAAGGACCTTCTGTAGAACCAGCGTCACTGTATGCTGTAACGATCATTTTATACCAAGTAGCTGGATGAAGGTCCAACACACGGAACAATGTCTGTAAAACAATAAAGACATTTATGTGTTAGGTTGAAATTAAAATTAGTATCAATGTTTAAAAGCCGAATTAAACTATATTTTTTGTCATACAATAGATACCTCAGCGTTAAATGATTCACTCGGCTGAGTGTTGTTTTTTGTATAATTTACCACTAAACTTATCGGAAAAACAATATAATTGAGTACTGGCAAATATCGGTTTGCAACGCAAAATCGTGGTGCGTCTGTTTGAATTAGGGAATTTTGTCAGTGGAAGTTGTATAATATGGTTTAATGAAGGAGGCATAGACGTTGCTGATATATATTATTTAATTCCTACCCAACGATTGTCCCTTAACAGAGAGGCCAAAGATACCAAAGGGACATTCATACTCATAAGTCAAAAATAAACTGACAACGCCAATTGCTAAAAAAGAAAAAGACCAACAGGCAAACAACGGTACACAAAACACAACAAGGAAAACTAAAGACTGAGCAACACGAACCTCACCAAAAACTGGGGTTGATCTCAGGTGCTCCGGAATGGTAAGCAGTTTCTGCTCCACATGTGGCACCTGTCGTGTTGCTCCTGTCAGTACAAACCTAGTTATAAGTCTATTTCGGTAGGTCACATTCCAGGAAAGGGGATTGTAGTTGCGACAATTGGAACATATCCGCAATCATCTGTGAAACGGATATTCCATAACAGTCAACCAACTCGTGATGGCGTCCGTAAAATTTACGAAGGTATAACTTGAACTTTACCACTTGAAACTCTTGGTTTAAAAGCTTCCTAGTGAGCAGCAACCCTCTATCAAGGAAATCATATTAGGAAATACAAGCCCTGGACTATCGTATCAACTGGGAGATAAATACTCCGTATGCAGGCGCTGGAATGTTGCTACATAGAAATGGAAAGTTCATAATTGGGAAGCTGAAATCACCCCTTTTGTCGTAAAGTTTTGTTTTCAACCGGCCCTCATTGTCAATTTCTAGATGTAAGTCAATATATGAGGCAGACTTAACTGTATCTGTTGTAAAGAAGTATTTTTATTGATTACTATAATGAATTGATACTTTTTCCAATTAAATACTTTAAAAAGTAAGATAAATTTTTAACGATGAATGTAAATTACTTACAACATTCCAGTCAATGTGGTTTGCGACTTCTTTCCATTTGTCATCTCCCCAAACTTGGTACTTTATTGAATAAAATTTGATTGGACATCCAGCTGTAAGCCATGATGTCATATCCAGGTCAACAGAAGTTACATTTGTTGCCTTCAGAAGCATGCTCTTTGCCGGCATTATTGGAGCTGAAACGCATATGTATAAAAAGGTAAATATAATCGGTCATATAATGTTTTTTTCAGCTTTTCTTTCGTATTACTGAAACGTTTTGCTCAAGGGATTAATATAAATTGAGGATTAACAGAAAGAATCTGTTTGTTTTTTATACTGAAATTAGATCAGATAAAAAGTGTGGTAACTAGTAATTGTAAATCAACTATCATTAACCTTTAATTTGAAAAAATACATATGGTATAAGCTGGTTTAAGAAGTCGTATTCAATAACAATACAGACTGTAACAGTTTTTTTTTGTTCACATAATTTTGTAACGGAAAAACAGAGGAATATAAAGCAATATTCTTCCCATTTGAATCAATCGCAACTTACTAGATCCATTGGTCTTAGCTGATACTACATTACTGTCAGGGCTGTCTCCGTGCTTGTTTTGAGCATTAAGTACAAATTTATATGAGGTCCCACACAAAAGACGTGATGCTGTATAAGACCTGTTACTTGACCCCAAGTCCATATGTTTCCATTCTTCATGTTCTTTTTTATATCTCAATGAAAATCCTATAAAAAAAACGAAAAGATGGATACGTCAGTTGTATTTCAATTTTCTTATCTTCATCTCTAAATACTGCAGTATATTCTCAACAATGTATACAAATGTGAGTTTATGAGGACATCTTTGAGCTGCCATATTTTTAGGGTGCAATTACATAATTTGGTTTTTAGAACTTGCCTCAACAAAATTTGTTTACAATTTTATCGTTAAAAATAACTCTGTAATCGATGATTAAATAACCTGTTGTCTTATAACGTTTTCAAATCACCGTTGCAATTAAAATTAAATGAAAATACACAGCTAATTGTTTTAATTTCGTAAATATTATCTGTGCTGTTCCATATGGTAATTAGTTACCAGTAAATTATGCAACACGTGCTTAAAAGGTGTGATATTATTTAGACTTATTAACTTGATTGGTGTACAAAGTAATAAAGCATAGGTGTGTCGCTTATAAAAAAAAAAGAAAAATAATGGCCTACTTTGTATTGGACTGCCGCCATTACTCCCAGATTTCCAGCTGACTTGTATTGTGCTAGCAGTTCCAGTAACAACGTATAATACAGGTGGCTTAGGTGGAGCTGTAAAATACATTATATTTCAGGTACAAATGCAAACAATATTTCAAAACTCATGTCGTGGAAGATATTTCTGGGAAAACCATTCTTTTTTAATTCAACTCTTTACTCATTTATATCAATATTTGTAAAAATTGCAAAACGAGTAAAAACAATAATTAGATTTAATGGTTTTGACACTACTATGTGTCATGAATATTATTCGAAATTATGGTTTCTGTTACCAATAATGTTAAATGATATAAAGTTCTTACATTTGAATGATTATCACAAACAATTTAATCTACTTTTCATCTTTAATTTTCAGATTCAATTTCGTTCGATTTACAACATTTTTACAAGATGCATAGTAGTCATGCAAATGGTGAACTGTAAACTAAATAAATGAGTAAATAAAATGTTCAAATGATTGATGGATAAAGAATAAAAAGTTTAAAAGTAAAAAAATATATGATATTTGGAACTTAAAAGGACTATATAATGATAATGATGAGAAATGGAGTTTGCTTTGCGACAAAAGTCATGATATTTGCACAATCACAATCATATTGAACACAAAGGAAACTTGCAAGTATGAATTATGTTTCGGATGATACAATTACATCATGCAAAACATTGATTCCTTAGAGATAGGTATGACAAAAATCATCAATGGAATCAATGGCATTGTGGTTATTTTACTTACTGCCGATTGTGTTACTGACTGAGTGCATTAAATATAAAAACAAAAGTATTCTAAATATAAATTATGAAGAAATTGCATTCACATATCTCTCATCGTACATTTAAGCTAGTGTATTTATATAGTATACTAGAACACACCCGCGACATTACGGGTCCGTGACTGAATTAAGGTACCTACGCCTTATTTTCAGCCTGGATTTTTAGTATTCGTATTGTCATTTTCTCTGCTTTCAAAATCTTTCTGTTTGAATCCGTTCTGGTTTTCTTACTACCAATTCCAAATACACCGTTTGGTAGTGCGCCTGACAGAGGCGGAACGTACAGATTAGGTAACAGGTAACAAGTACTATTGGTATCGGTATCGGATTCGACCAGGAACTTGTTAATTATTGGTAATATTAATTATGTTGAAAACAAAAGAGCCTGAATTGGTGTAATTTTTAATCAACACAATTGTCCTATATTAGTTATATATAAAGTTGAATCTTTGATTCGTCGTTTTTACGTCATGCCGGCTAACAAATTGGACCTCGTTATTTTAGTATTATAAATATACATTTCACCTCTATTCTTATTATTTATTAAGCATCCTTAAGACCGTAAATGTTATTACTACCACTGGGTCGATACCTCTCTTTCCTTGAGGGTATCACCAGCCCAGTAGCCAGTGCTTCGGTAATTATATGAAAATATGAATACTGTGTTGGAATTTATTTCAAACTAAGGAATATAACTCCCACATGCAAAACTCTGATTCCTTGTGAGACTATGACAATAATTTTTGTCCGTTTGGTTTTATCAGCTGTTTAATTTTAAAATAAGCTTTGGATTTTCAAATATATTGGCCTCAAGCATCACTGAAGAGAAATGTGTTGTCGACATGCACATCTGGTGCATTAAAATTGGAACCGTTTATGTTATCAAAGCATGGTTATTTGCAATCTTGATATTTCTATTAAAAACACATTTTTCTTTGGCTTTAACACGTTTTATTGTTGATCAGTAAGACATATGGACTTATTTAATAATAAAGCTATCTTTTAAGATTTGTTTGTCAGGTTTTTATAGTAACAATGAAAATCAACTCACCTTGGACACTAACGGCATACACTATTTGATCTGTTCCATGAGTGTTTTCTGCATGGCATGTATAATTAGCAGCATCAGATCCTACAACAGCATCAATATACAGTGATCCATCTGGTAAAAACTTAAATCGCTTGTCAGGAACCATAGTTTTACCTCTGAAAACAAATGTCTTATTTATAGCAAATGTATGGTTGTTTTTGACGTAGACTAAACACAAATATAATTTATGTGGCTGTTTTTAATGCAATCTCTGGAACATGTTTTTAAGAACTTATTTATCAATTATTTTTCCATCATAACCTTGCAATACTCCTGCACGATCTATTGTGTTAACCTTCGTTAAGCAAGAACTGACTGTATCAGAATTTAAAGGTTCAAAAACGATTTCAATGTTGCATATTAAAATTATGCAATTGAAATGGCTAAAATACCATTGTTTAGGATGTTTTCAGCCCGTCACAATGTTATAGTGAATGCTTTGAAGATATTGTTTAAGTATTCAAGAATGTTTAGATTGCAGAATATTCGTCTGATCTGTAACTTTACCGAGTGAGATATGTTGGCTAAGGTCGGATTTGCATTGTGGATGGTGTGTGCCTAGTAGGCGACGATTACCCTGTCGACACACATAGTCTCGCTTCTTTTAGTTTAAACAGTATTTATTAAGGAAAAATTATAATAATGAAGTAGTACAATTTTACATAAAATTCAGATATGAGATTAGAAAACAAATTTGGAAAACTTTTATTGATGTGTTTGAGCTTTTGATTTTGCCATTTGATAAGAGACTTTCCGATTTGAATTTTCCTAGGAGTCCGGTATTTTTGTTATTTTACCTTTTATAAATCCGTCTCCCGAAAAAAAATACACCTATTTAACAAACAATATGACGTGCCAACAGTATATTCAGTTTAAGGTAACATATAATAAATCTTAATATATAAATACCAAAAAAACAAAAAACAAAACAAAACAAAAGCAAAAACAACGAAGCTGTTAACTTTTATTTCTTTGATAGACAGTGACTGGAACCACCACACATGTCCGATTATATTCGATAACGGACAATCCACTCGATTTGACATCAATATATATAATTATTATACCTAAGTTATCATTTTCTATTTGCCTTAATTTATATTATTATAAGGCTAATGAATACAATACCTGATTTTCCATGCAATTTTTGGTGAGGGAATCCCTACAGCAAGACATGATAAATTCAACGGGTGATGCCATGGAATAGTCAACACACTTGAAAAACTAGCTATTTTTGCTGAAACTGTAGAGAAAACGACAGGAGTTATAATTCTGAACAACCCACCCAAAGTTTAGATATAGTAAATGAGATCTTTTTTCAAAGTTTTAGAATGTTTTTCAAGTATCAATCTCTTCAGCTCAAATAACGTATTATAAGATATCTATGATGAGTTTATTTAAACATTTGTTCAGAGAGTATTATACATCTTTTAATCAATATTGTGACATTTTGATGAAACTTGATAAATCAAAAACATATTTACAACTGTTAAATTCATTTAAAGTAGTAGTTTACGTATTGATTGTCTTAATATGAATGTAAGAATTGTTCATACCTTTAGATTGTATTGACCCCGATACAATTTGAGTTCGTTTTCCTTCTCCCATCCTTGTATTTGCTGACACTTGAAAAAGGTAATCCAAATTACTTGATAGGTTCGACAACAGAAGAGTTAACTTTGAAGCATCTAATTTCATTGGTGTTTTTTCCTAAATGAAAAGATATAAAGTACATGTATAGAAAAAAAACATGGAAGATATAATTGAAGAAGTGATAATGACAAAATTATAAAGATGTGAAGAAATATGTGCAGGTTTAGATTGCATAAAAGTTCTGTCAATCGAATATTTGTTCTAAACAGTTAAATGTTTAAATACTTTAAAGAACATGAGGAAAAGGTAATTCTACTTTTGAATTTTCAGTAAAATATGTGTTGTGCGTCTCATGCCTGCAATGTCTAAATCTGATATTGTTTCCCTATAAAAAACAATATGTTTGAAACGATTGTTATAACTTTAAGACGAACCTATTATTTTTGAAATCTTAATTGTAATAAAAAGAATTAAATATATATTTCTTTACCTTGTATGTTCCACCTGTGATGTAAACATTATATCGAGTAAGAATTCCGTTACTGTGAAGAGGGGGCTTCCAAGACACCAAAATACTACTATTGTCCACGGGCAGAGCTTTAATATCCGCTGGGCGTTCTGGAACTAAAATTATATAAAAAAATCATATTAGAAATCTTATCATCTCCCTCAGGCAAAGGTGATCTTAGATGGGTTTGACTATTATTTTAATGTCTCTTTTTGTCAAATAACTCTTCATCTTTTTCCGTACAAATGCATGTCTTCCTTTTACATTTTTGGCTTTTAGCGTTCCTGATGGAGGTTATCCAGAAAAGCGCTTCAGACGCCTAATATTTAAACAGCATCATATTTTTAGTGTTAGTTATATAGAAAGGTTAACACTATGTTTTTTATCTGCATATCACAATTCAAATAGATTAAGGTATAGACAATTTATTGAGAAATCATTGTTCTAATATTGTAGACTAAATTTAAAAAAAAAAGCAAAACAGTAGTATTTCGCTCTTTACATACCATCTTGTTGTGTAACTACATATATAGCAGGACTTCTAACTCCTACTCCTTTCCTAGTATATGCAAGTACTTGTAGGCTGTAGTTGGTATATTTGGACAATCCTGTTACAATGGCTTCCAGATTATCAGTTATTAATGTGTTAGCATCACTTTCATCTACAAGAAGTTGACTTCATATATACATGTTATACACGTGTTCTTACATATACATTCTTTAAATGTTTTTATTTTAACAAAATAAGGTTTTTTTTATATTAAGTTATGGACATAACTCATGATGTAATCAATTTTGGTCATTTTAAATATTCTATGTTATTCAAAATGACATTAAGTAAAGTTCATTTACCGTTAGTGATACTAGACGTAATATATTCAGAGATTTATTTTCTTTAATACATTGTTCAGTTAAGTAATAAATGTTTGATATATTCTTGAATGTATTACTTCGGATATGCTTCATACCTTCATCGTCTCTGACTGGTTGGTACAATATCTTGTATCCCTGTAGTATACCATGAAGGGTATATAGAGGAGGAGGTGACCATATTATTTTAATGCTTCGAGAGTTGATAGATGTAGCTTGTACTCCTTGTGGAGGCTGACTAGGAACTGCAATAAAGAGACGTAAAGTTTCATAATAACAATTAACTGTATATTATTAATTTCATGATTCATATATATGATATTTTTTCAGTGCTTTCGCTCTGTTTTTTTTATTGGCGGCAGTGTATTTAAAAAAAAAATCTTACTTTTCTTAGGTTAAAATTAAGGATTATATTTACTTGATCTTCGATTTTTATTCAATAAATTGCATGAATTCAAATATAGGTAAACAATTGATCGGTACTTACCATCTTCCAAGGTAAACACTTTATAATCTGGAGAAGAGGGACCACGTCCTTTGGCATTATAAGCTTGTATGTGTACCGAGTATTCTGTAAACTTTTCAAGATTGTGTAGTGTATGCTCTGGTTTAAAGTCTTTTCCGATAACTTTTGGTATGTATAAAAACCTGGCAGGGCTTTCTGTCATCTTATACCCAATATAATAACCAAGTATTTTACCATTGATGTGCTTCGCTGCTGGCGGCTGTAAAATACATATATTTTTTTGTTATAAAATGTTAGTATGATAACAGATAAGTAATCATGGTAATAGTGATCAAATGACATAAAATCATTTTCATAACTAGTTGAATTTTTATAGAGGCCAATACATGTGTATATTACCTATAAGTACAGTATAATACATTAAAAACTCCATTACCGGAAATTTAATATATATATATATATATATATATATATATATATATAAATAAATGCACGTTGATACAATCTGGTGTTAAACATATATGGATACATATTCCAGAGAATATTCATTAAATACTTACCATCCATGTTATTTGTAGGGATTCTGATCCTAAGGCTGTCACTTCTATATTCTGGGGTGGACCTGAAGGAGCTTCCTCTAACATTACAATGTCTACTGGTTGACAAGGTATCCCGTACCCAACTGAATTGTTAGCTCGAATTCTCACCAGATAAGGCACACTTGGCTTCAAATTTGGTATATTCACCGATAATTCTGTAGATGGTACTGTTATATTTGGAATTATTCCCTGCCACGTACCTGTAAAGGAAGGTTAAAAGAAAGCATTAAGTGTTTAACATTTTACTGCATTTTGAAAACAAAATTATTTGTTACCGTTCTAATGTTTAAAAAAGAAATGAATAAATAAATAAATAGTACCTGTGGATTTGATATATTCTATAACATAAAACAATATATCTGTGTTGCCATCATATGGTTTCTTCCATTCTATTACTGTTTCACGGCTTGTTTTGCTGACAACTGTTAAATTAAGTGGTACCTCTGGTTTTTCTATTAATTAAAAACAAAAACGCATATTGGTAATAGTTATCAATTAACTTACTCTTGTAGCGCAAACCACATTTAGTTTATTTTTCATTGTTCGGTAGACGAGTCATTTAATTATTTCAAAACTCCGTTTCATTTAGCCATGGGAAAGACTATTGTTTAACTGATGTTAATACTTTGATTTGTTCTTTTTAGAATACTCTATTAATCTAACCAATATATATTTTCTTGATTTACTTAATTTTGTACAGATTTAAAGTTATCAATTGTTTTCTGCCTCGACTTATCACCTTATATGAATTTCGATTACGTTATTTTCTTTTAAATAGGTTCCTATTTATCGTTTCAGCGTTACATTCATTAAGAGTTGGCTTAGGCAAGCAAAACACAACGTTTTATCATTGTCAGTATATGAAGTCATATAATGTAAAATGTAAAAGCGCATTACATGTCCTAAACAATCAGTTGACTAAAATAAAAAAAATCATATTTTATATTTACCAAGTACAACAAGTCTCATAGACAATATGCCATTTCCAAATTTATTAGCAGCAGTGCACACATAAAACCCGGTGTCATCTCTTCCAGATGGACGTATAACCAAGCGGGATAACATTCCTCTGTGTGTAGTAATTCTCTCTATCTGTTTCCTTTATAAAAAACAATAACAAAATGTATTACAAATTCAGCGCTTTTTATTGTTTGAATATTTTGGTCGAATGAACCAGTGAAAAGATTTTAGTGTAAGCACTTTTTATCAATTAATATCACTTCAAATAAAGTAGAGAAAAAAATTACGACTGCAACAACTGTTACTATTACTACTTCTTTGACAAATAATTACTATTATTATTATGACAATTGGGGCTAGTAATACAAACAAATGTAAATTAGATAATATCGAGACGATTAAAGATACCTGGAAGATGATGATAACGATTTTCCATTAAAACTCCATGACACAGACATTGGTTTATCTCCAACGGCTTGGCATTCTAAAGTTGTATTTTGTCCTTTTATTACAGAATAATTCTTACTGGGTTCGTCAAATCTTGCTGGAACTAGAAATAACACGAATATGCTTCAAATAATAGCAATTTATTCATGTTACATGTGAAATTTCCGTCCAACTATAATTGGTAATGACTGTATAAACAGTGCAGACGGATAATATGAATATTAGTCCCATTCTATCTTCGATATCAAACTTTGATGTATTAAATGTAACTTCAAAATGTTAACGAAGTATATTTCATGTCTTTTTTTACACTAAAGTTTCTTCTAATGGCTCTTTAATTGGCCATTTAGGACAAACACTATCTGCCAAATTTCACTTTGGAAAACTAGTTTTGTATTTTAATATATTTTTTTCTTTTATTTCAATACTTATTTACAACTGTGCTTAATAAGTCCACATGTGGAGCAGGATCTGCTTACCCTTCCAGAGCACATGAAATCACCCCCAGTTTTTGGTGGGGTTCGTGTTGCTCGGTCTTTGGTTTTTTATGTTGTTTTGTGCACTATTGTGTGTCTGTTTGTCTTTTTCTTTTTAATCCATGGTGTTGTCAGTTTATTTTCGATTTATGAGTTTGAATGTCCCTTTGGTATCCTTTGCCTCTCTTTTTCTCTCAAATCAAACTTATTGTAATTTTTTTTATACTAATAGGAGATCATATGCAATCGTCCCTTTGTTGCCAGGACTAATCATATACTAGGTGTTATATGATAAAGTGTGTTTATTGTTAAAAAAATAAAAAATATATCTAGATAGTTTACCTAAGTAGTTAGGACTTCTGTGTTGACATGAATTATCATTGATATGGCAATAATTATAAATTTTCTGTTTAAAACTTAGAATTTTACGAAATGCGCAGGATTTTTTACCCCAAAAATATTGCCTTATCTGTATTTAGCAAAACCTTTTTGAGTTTTGAGACAAAATGCTCTTCAGTTTCGAACTTCATTTGACCTTTAAAGTTTTTTTGTTCGATCGTTTGGCATGTAATATTTGATGAGTTTTGTATAGTTTTGTAACCAAAAGTCATACTTTAAGTTGATTGCTAAGAGTGAGATTTTACACGACCATGATAAACATAAGAAGTACAATTATATCATGTTCCTTAAACTGGTACCGTTTCAAATGTTAACAATTTTTACATTGCTAATTTAAAAACTACTCTAGTTAGTAAAATTTATTTCTCCTTATATTATACAATATACTTCTAATATGTGACATTTCTTGACACTTACTATGCACTGTGAGAAATATAACTTTACTGAGAGGATATCCTACATCATTGTCAGCATGACAGAGATAATGCCCATGATCCTCTTCTTCAGCATTTCTGATTACAAGTGTGCCATTACTCAACAGCTGTAACCGACTGGAATTATCACTGTTATCTTCCATGTAAGGCAACGCTTGATAAGACCCAAGGGTGTCACCTGCAAAACAATGAAAACATACATTAGCGAAAATAGTTTAAATGTTTTAATCTTTCTATGATCGCATTAGTGATTTTATAATTTCGTTTGGCGTTATTTAAAAGAATAAGAAAGGCGTCTCCAACATGATTCATTCTTGCATTTTTTCTCAGATCAACAAACACATTGAAATTTTAATGCAAAAGCACGCGCTGTTCGGGAGATTATAATAGAAGTCTGTTCTTTGTACCATTTCCTCTTCCGATAAGTGTTCAAAATTTCCGTTTTGTCTCATAAATAAAATATCCAACATTTTGATGCCCATTGATTTTCCTTAAAGTACGGACAATGAATGGAATCCAAAAATATTTCCTCCGGTACCCACATGTCAATAATAATTTTTAGATGTTTGCATACGTTTTCTCTCATGAAATTATACTCATTTTCAGTTTCTGTCCTTAAAAGAGATCTGTGAGTCAGATAAGATCTTCTTACAAATAATGTTCGTACAAATTTTCTCCCAATATAAATAGTCTCGATAGCCAGCTTAATAATTAAATCTACTTATTTAAGAATATTGTAAACCAACAAATTTTCCTGATAGAATTATTTTCTACAACTTTCGCAAGTAGAAAGAATAATTCAGATATGAATCGTCTCGAAAATGTAAAACTTGAGTCTTCTCTTAATAAATATACCAACAAAGTTTTTGAAAAATTGCAAAATTGAATCACCGCGAAGTAGTGCAGTCAGATATAAACGCCGCGATACTGTAAGAATGAAGTACGTACCAGAGATTATATATATATATATAAATGATACAGTGCTAATATTATTTACAAAATGAGGCGACTTAACATAACTTCATATACACATGAGACAACAGCCATAATGAATTAATAACGCGTAATGGGTGGATGGGCATAAAAAAAAATTCGAGTTGTCCATCTTTTACCAGAAAAAAGTTACTTTTTTTGTCATATTCAATAATAGAAAATGTGCATGGTAGTTATATATATACCTAAACCTTTCTTCCATGAAATCTTAGGCGCTGGGATTCCATTAGTAAGACAATCAAGGATTACATTTTTCTTCAGAATTACGAAAGAATCTTCTGGTTCGTTTATCCACGTTGGTGGAACTGAAAGAAAAAAAATGTTTTTAGGAATATGCTGTATTTCATACTTTATTTATACGATGTTGATATATGATATATGTTTTGTAAGATGGAATAATTGCTTTATATTGAAATATGATCATTTGAATATCACTTTGTCTTTAAGAGTATTTTCCTGTTTCCTGTTTTTTATTGAGAACGAAATCAAGCTTGATTGTTGAATATCCATATAACAAGTACCATATTTAAACGGAAAACCTCCAATATACAAACAGACTAAGGTAGAGTGTTAATAGGTGCAGAGGTCTGTTGTAGTGTCCAGTGTTTTGAGTAATTCCTGTTATCTCTCATGCATAATTAAGAACTTAGTTTTCATTTTTCTTAAGGAATGGATTTATTTGGAACATAATGTGCTGTTCCTTTTTGATGTATTCAGGGATATTCAAATTGATTAAGATTGTATTGATACCATCAATAATTCTAATTATTGAGATGAATTACGACAGCAATTTAGATATCATGTATTTAATATAAATACAATGCAACCAAGGCACATCATATTTTGTATCATACAATTTTATAAGTTCAATATCACACATGAATAAATTACCAGGTCAATACAAACAAAGTGTGTATGAAAAAATGAAAACAACTTGGCGTCATCTTACAAACTTATCAAAATCACATTCTATTTCAGAGTAATATTATAATATAACAAACCAAAACAAATATTTTTTTTTAAAGTTATTGACATACCATCCACTTGCAGTAAAGATGTATATGTCACCGTAGATGCTGGGTTACTAGCTTGACAGGTATAATTTCCGGTATGCTTGGTACTGGCATCACCAATAATGAACATGCTGGTGTATGAATCTAAAAGCTGAAGTCAACATTTAAATTATGAATAGAATCAATGTACATGCTATTGTATTGTTTTCATTTAATTTTGCAAACCATGATTGATAAAATTGATAGACATATTGAAAAACCTATATGGACAATGTTTGTTCCAGGAATTTAATTTTGTTTTTAATCTTTGTGAATATTCAGCTTTATTTCAGTAGATATAGTTTTATTATACATATGGCTTTTTATCTAAACTAAAAAAACATAACACCATGATCCAATGATTCTCTCCTTTTCGTATAATTATAAATACAAAATATTCACCTGAATTTTTATGCCCATATCTGGTGGAATGTTATGTCCATCTTTTGTCCATTTGATTTTTATAGGTTGGTCACCACTACTTACTACACATGACATAACAATTCTGTCACCCTGTTTCTTGACAGGAAAAATAAATGGATCAATCATTGGAGGTTCTGTAAAATAAAATGTATATTCAGTTACAAAGTTAACACAGTATTGATATATGTAAAAGACTGTTGTCTATTAAGGCGACAGCAGTCAACCGATGTTCACATACCGTTAATAGAGTGAAAGATACGGTCTGCTATTTGTGTTTCAAGTAAATACTACAGCATAAGCAAAAAGAATCTTAAAAGTCATCTTTATTATTATCAGAGATGTATAATAAAAAGCAAAAATGACACAGACTGGATAAAGTTAATTATCCAAGTGCCTATTTTCATTGAGAGTGTTTTGGTTGAGTTTGTAATGATGTTTACATCAGATATTGGCACTGAAGTCGTTGTTCATCTTAATTTGCACGAAGATGTCGAACCGTTACTGTGTTCATAGCACATTAAAGCCCTTGTCTGATATGTAATGATTGTATTATGCAAATGGTTTTGAACAAAAGAAGAACTTTAATCCATCTGATGCTCATTTTGGCATACATATCTCATATGAAGCAGGAATACTAAAAATGAATCCGCAACTTAAAACAAAAGCTGGTACAATGACTGAACAGAAGTAGAACTTACCGACTACATTGATATACACAGATTGATTTGATCCTTGGCCATTTGAATTTCTAGCTGTACAAACATACTTTCCAGAATCATGTCGTTTCTGAACTTTATCGATAGTAAGTGATCCACCAACAATGTGTTGTAAATGGTTATGTGGTAAAGCTGTGCCATCTAAAATATTAATTTAACATTTAGGCATATCAGTTTTGTTAAATAATCTGACAGTATTCCAGGTTTGGTCATGTAACCGGTTTTTGACACTTAATACACACGACTTCACATGGGAATCGTGTGACGGCTGATGCATAACATCAGATGTGTACATTGTGGACACACTTGATCTCACTCCCTTAGGTGTTCATGCTATTCGTATTGTTTTCCTTTGAATGTTTTTCAATTGTATTTGAATTTTTTGAAATAATAAGGATTTTCTACCACAGGAATAGATTACCTTAGTTGTATATGACAGAACCTTTAGAAATTTGAGTCCTCAGTACTTTTCAACTTATACTTTATTTGGCCTTTTTAAATTGGTTTGATTTGAGCGTCACTGATGAGTCTTTTTGTTTAGACGAAACACGCATCTATCGTACACAATTTTAATTCTGGTATCTATCATGAGTTTATTTACACCTGAAAATAACTGAATGTTAGTATACTACCTTTTTTGGATAGAGGTATATTTTGCAAATCTGTTGCTTTGTGATATCCATATAGACGTGATATTCGTCAAGCAAAGCCTACGATTTTGTATTTTAATTTATGTTGCAAAGTGCTGGTAAAACAGCCAAAATATAGCAGATGCATCAACTTCCGTTTGTATTGATTCAATACATCAGTGTCAATAATATTTGTTTAAGTGTCTTCCACAAGAAATGTGATAATGTAAACAAATGCAACAAGGCTTAATAATAATGTATTATAGCACATGATTTATCTACCTGAAATAAATTCACCCTAAATGTAGGCTTAATATACACTGTCGCTTACATTCTTGAACTATGGTTCTTCTTAAAACGTTTATCTTCAAAGCAAATGAAAGGATGGATTTAAAAATACTAGTGTCGTTTAAAATAGATTAATCATAAAAACAACATTACCATTTGTTTAATCCAGTATTTCTTTTCTTGGTAACTGATGGTATATCTTTCAAGACATCTCCGGTTTAAGTTCTATATATTTTATGCATATTTTTTCGTAAGTTATCGTATCTCCTAAAATGACCTTTTTTCAAAAGTGAATAGCATCATTATGGATATCACTAGTGAGAAATTTTATTCAAAAGAAATTACAATGAATTAACTTAAGAGTAGTCGATGTCATATATTCAATCTGTCAAAAATTGAACTCTTGTTCTGGTTATAACCATCATACCTTTAGACCATATTACAGAAGATACAGGATAACCAGCCACGTAACACGTGATAACCAATGGCTGATTAGCCGTGGCAGTGATGTTCTTCATCGGTCTAACCCATGGGATACCTGAAAAATGCAATATGTTTCCTAATAAATAATTAAAGTTATCGTTTTAAGATTCAAATTCCGTACCTGTACATATACAACAGTTGTTCGATCACACAACTAAATACTCGATCCGTAATGTATACTTTATACGTTTTGTGTTTGAAATCAACGACTTAAGTTAACAGAAAACATAAGGAGATATAATGGTTACATATTTTACTATTATTCAAAATATTATAACTGATATTATCATTTTTCGACGACTGGCAGCGGAATATACATTCAATGGACTCAGGGTAGGATACGGCTATTTTCATGCCAAACAAATGTATAATTGGTATAACTATTCATGAGAAATAAAAGGCGAATAAGTAGTATCATATAGTGTGAATCCGGCTTTCACAATTGTTGTTACTGAAAAGTTTAAGGTACAATACATAATATTGTCCCTCTATTGCAGTCGGTGTTATATCTTGTCTCTGTCAGTTGTAGCGCTTATTATGTGTGTATTCACATGAAAAGAAACGTTATTTTTTATAACTTTCTTCTTTCCTTCTGAAGACGCACAGTTATTATTGTATATTTAGTAAAACTGGATCATAATGATAAATTACATGTGGTAATTTCTAGTATTGGATTTGTTAAGAAAAATAAAATAGAATTATCCTCCCATACTATCAATTTCAATTTGTGTTATCTTTATTTTGAAAATACACTTAAAACCAAAGCAATAATCTGAAAGAAACTATAACATTAATGGTGTCACTAATCAATTTTATCAATTAAATTGGTTCGTGTAACAATAAACGCTTAAGATTTGTTTGAACACTAATACAATAGATAGAAAAATAATTCGATAACCTAACAAAAAAATTAACTTATCAAGATGTATTATGGTAATTTTAAGTTTGTTTTGAAAATGAAAGATAAGTCGCCAAAAAACAATATGAAATTATTTTAACAATTACACAGTAAAGTTTATCTAATTATACATTTCCTTTTTTTAATATTTGTGTTGAAATCAATTTTATTTAACTTTAATGTTATCGTTTTAAATGTTTCTACCGACAGATTTATTACAATTTTGCTGAAATTAATCACATCTAAACGCTCTCAATTGTAATTTAATTTCTATTCAATCAATATAAACCATTATCATCGTTGACTGAGAGTACTCTCATGGGTTTTCTCCACTGGGTTAATTCAAATTGATCTAAACACACACTTGATACTTTCACAGTAATAAAACTGTCTCCATTTCATTTGCTCAATGTTAACTACTTCTTTGGGTACAATAAGTGTTTTAAAAATGATTCGGGAACGTACAATTCCTTCTTTAAGCTGATAAGTAAATACAGTAAATAAAATCTAAACAACACAGTAATGTCCGTTTGGTATCTTTCGCCTCAATTTTTTGTTTTTCTTTATAACAAGTAATCTAAAACTATTAAAAGGAAATTATCAAATTTTGTGGATCATTGCAGTAATTCTTTATTTTAAATGCTTCAAACATATGTATATCCTGCATATCTATATTTTAATGCATAGTATACACAAGTAAAAGGGTTTTTTTTAGTCAGCGATGCTCGAAACCAAAACATTGTGAACAGACATTAACAAACGATAGATACAACGCAATGCAATGTTACACCAAAATGTATGCCTTCACCAGCATAAGAACAGCTGTGCATTAATGGTTTATGGAGTCGAAATTAACACGACAGTAGTTTACCGAAGTGCATATTCTGTAATTTAATTCCCCCTCAGTCAAAATGTCACAATCGTAGAAAACCTGTTTTGTGGATTCCTGAGGATCAAGCTTATGGTCAACCTTCAGCAGCCGTAGTTATACAACATTACATGAAACTCATCAAATACATATTTAGAGAAAATTATTTTTCTAATCAGTTGTGCTGGAAAGAAATATTGTAAATGCAGTCAACATTAAGATTTCATATTTTCACTAAATACTCTTTAACAATTTCTCTGGCTGACTCTGTAATACAAACGAATACATGGTATAAATGATCGTATTTTGATCATTATAACTTAAAGCTGTTGCATATGAATAACATGAAAAAGCAAACCATTAAATTTGTGTATACATATTTTTTTTTATCTTAATTCATATATAAGAAATACGAACCATAAACATTAAGTCTGCTAGAATGTGAAATCGTTCCAACTTCGTTAGAAACTTTGCATGTGTATTCTCCACCATATACTATATCAACACTACTTATGTTGACATAGCTGATAACTTCACCAAGGCCGTTCATGAAACTTCCTTCTTTTAATTCGTTGTCATGAGGTAAAGATTGTCCATCTAAAGTCCATGATACATTAGGTGTTGGATTACCAGCTGCGTTACACTTTATCGATGTCTTTTGCCCGATTTGAACATATTGATCAGCAAATAGATCAACAAAAGCTGGATGAGCGGCTACAAGATATAAGTATTGGTTAGATAGAAATACAAAGTGCACTGTGGTAGCTGTATTATACGTTAAATACGTTTGTAAAGTATCAGATTATCGTCATTCTGGATTAGTAATCATTTTGAATTTCGACTTAAATATTATAATATTAAACAAATGTTTTCTAGAGGTTATTGATGTGTAAACTGTGCATAAGCACTGACAATTGAACAAAAGTACTTATATGTGAAGTTTGCGAGTTCACCGGCCAATTTATATATTGATAACTTTTTAAAAAAAATGTGTTCCATCCATATAATTCTCAACTCAAATATATGTAGCTTTGACTTTAAATTTCATACATTCCTAGCATGTATATTCCACACCGGTATGTCGTTTAAGCAGTTATCCTCGTCTCATGGGTTTTCGTACATTAAGAATGCATTGTGACGTCACAATTTCCATTGAAAAAACATGCATAGTACGAATTCATATGACGTACGAAAACATATGATCTGACCATAACATTTATCCTTGTCATCGATTAAAAATCAATCCAAGGTACTCGCTACCCTATAGTAAATGAAAATAAGTCTTTATAAATTTCGTTGGTCCTGAACGCTTTTCTGAATTAGCCTTCTTCATTAATGCTCAAACTTAAATATTTGAAAGTCAAGGACGTATAGATACGTAGAAACATTAGAAGCTACAGGACCAAAAGGTCATATAAGATATATAATAATGTACAACTCACAGCACCACCAGAAAACACTTTTAACTATGTCTTACATGTTTATGATGTTAATATATTTGTATCATACTCACCACCTAGTAACAGTTGAGCAGTTCCCTGTGCTCCATCGTTATCGTTTGTTATAACACACTGGTACATTGCTTGGTCCATTCTATTGACCTCATTGATAGTCAAATATGTTTCATCCTGTATAGTCATTCTATCTTCTTTGACCAATGGATGACCATTTTTATACCATTGGATGGATTTGATTGGATAACCATTCACAGAACAGTTAAAAAATGCAGACTGTCCCGAATCTACTATTTGTTGCGGAGGATCAATTTTCACCGACAGTGGTACTGTAAGTAAATACAACAGCTAGTTCAAAATTTTTCACATTCAAAAAGTGAAAAGATCAGATCTTTTTTAAAGGTTTTTCAAACACAAAACAATGGGCATTTTATTTTGATACAACAAACTAACATTGTTTAAAAGGTATTTTACCATATCATAAGTTAAGTTTCTACGAATCATTAACGAATTATTGAAAAAAAAGTTTTATTAAAAATAATAAAACACAAAGATACATATGTTAATCCTTTAAACTATGTATTCACCGAAATACAGAATTTTATTTATGATAAATATGTATTAAGCAACTATTACATGTGACAATAAGCTGAGTCTTAACAATTGCTGATCCATGTGAGTTGGAAATGTTACAGGTATAGTCGCCACTGTTTACTGTTTGTGCATTTTTTATGAAAAGATTTCCACCTCTCTGACCATAAAGGACATTATCAATACTCAGATCTTTTCCGTGGAAGCTCCATCTATAGGTGGGTAGGGGATTCCCACGTCCGACACATGGTAATTCTACTGCTGATCCCTGTGCAACCGTCACAATCTTTGAATAGTCATCAATTTCAGCTGGAGACCAACCAGCAGGTGGTTCTGAAAGAAAAATATGTCTTTTTGTAGTAAATTTATGCAACACTTGAATAGTTCGTACTAAAACAAAAGCTATATAATTAATATCTCAGTCTGAAAGTAATCGGATTTTGAAGTACTTTTATGTTGTATATATATCTATACTGAACAAATGTTCATCAGACGGGCTTTTAAATTGTCTTTACTTTTTCCAATCTTTAATCAGCAATTAATTCATTAATATATTTATTAATATGTGTTTATTTTGTTTGACAAATACTTAAGACATTCCTTTTTAATTCTATGAACATCTTATTCAAATGAATTAACGAAATAGTTTATACTGTAAATAAGAAATTGTTAAACTCATGAACTGTTAGGAAGTAGCAAACTACAAGGTCAAAATAATTGTAAAAACGCATCAAAGATAAAACCAGGGAAACACTTTTAAAATATCGGCTAATGGAAAAAAGGAAGAAAAGACTGTCAAAGTTCTGACTTGTTACAGTTGCTTATTGCATGCTTACTCACCATGAACATGTAAATATGCAAAGGAGCTGACTTTTTCCTCTTTGGTAAGTATATTACGTGCTATACATCTGTATGTTGTGTACCGATCTTCATCTCTAACATCTCGGATTTGCAGTTTTCCATCAGGGAAAAAGCTGACTCTTTCACCTTAAATTAATTAAAAATCCATTGTAGACAACTCAATAAGTGTTTAATTGTAATTCTTAAATATGATATTCCATATTACACACAGATATTTTAAGAATTTTGGGTCCTTAAAGCTCTTCAAATTTTTGGCTATTTACCTTTGATTCGAGCGTCAATGATGAGTCTTTTGTACACGAAACGCGAGTCTGGTGTACAAAATTTTAATTCTAGTATCTATGATGAGTTTATTTACCACCACTGTGTCGATGCCACTGCTGGTGGGGTTTTTCTTCCCGAGGGTATCACCAGCTTAGAAGTCATGTTGACATGAGTTATCACTGATATGGTCATAATTATAAATTAGCTGTTTACAAAACATTGGATTTTTCGAAATACTAAGGATTTTCTACCCCCGGAATATATTACCTTAGCTATATATGGCAAAACTTTATTTGGCCTTTTTAACTTTTTTTTATTCATGTGTCACTGATGAGTCTTTTGTAGACGAAACTCGCGTCTGGCGTTAAAAATTTCAATCTTGGTTTATATGAAGCGTTTATATATAACGGTCCTTATTAGTATGCATTGTATAACGGTATGAGATGCATACAGATATTTTGTAAGTAACCAGATACAAATGGACAAAACATGTCGACTGAAGAAAGACAGACATTAACCCAAGCAGAAAAAAGCACGAAAAGACGAACAATAATCAACAAAAGATTATACAGAATACTACAGATGTTGGATTTACTGCCTCGTTCGTGTATACTCAGAATCTCTTATAGTTCATTTCAATTACACCGGAAACAAAAACGTCCAGGGGTTGTCTTTAGGACTCTTGTGAGTTGTTGAAAAATTACCTGATGGTATGAAATATGTAGTAAAGGTTAATTTGTTATTGAAGTAGTATTGAATATAAGTAGATACTTGCACGAACTATTTAATTACCATTAATTTGCACGGACTTATGTTAATCGATTTAGTTTAAGACAAAGGGTACACACCTGGTACAATTGGTTTGGTTCCCTGCGTCCAGCCTACTACTTTAATATATTCTTTAACATAAGAAGGATTGATGACACATCTAAACGTTGCTGTACTCCCCTTCATAGCCCATACATCTGTCAACTGTAGATTGTATGTCTTGTAGTCATCGATTAGAACTAGAAAGTAGAATAATGATAAAATTAATTAAAAAGATTGATAAATAAAGTTTGAGACATCACGAATCACGATCGCAATACTACTATACCAGTATTGTTTTAATACTGGAATAAAAAGTTTTTCCAGTATTGTACCAGTTAATTTTTTTTAACATAATTGGCTAATGATATAGCAATCAAATTTGCTTATAATATTGAGAATAAATAAATCCTCCCCCTAAGGTATATGACCAATAATTCGGGCCCGGTCAGAAAGAACATACAAGAAAGAAGAACATATTTTAAACAAGTGAGTTCTTACGCGTAGCTGTTATTTCGCCAATAAGTAAACTATGTGGGTAGTGTTGTTATCAAATGAAAGATTGGGGTCACTGTAGAACCCTTGTTTAAAAAAAATGTTTGAATGATGAAAAAAAATATATGAAATTAAAATAGGAGGGAATATTTGCCCGGTTGCTCTGGTAAGAAGTACATGTGTTTGTACTACCAAACTTCTTGGAATAGTCAGGTATAGTTTTGACATGGAATGCCTGTCACTTTACCTGAACTTAAGTCAAAATAGCTATGAAGTTTGAAGTTGCAGAATTAACATAGAAAGCAATGGGCTATGAATTAGTGGTATTATTCCCTAATCAGCATAGGATATCAGGAACTTTGAATATTTATCGTTCTATAATGCAATGTACGTGTAAAAGGAACCCAAAGCACTTGTTATCAACACAGAGGAATGCAAACACGCTTATTTGATATCTTCATAAATGTTTATGATTTTCTTTTATTTTAGGTACCCCAACCGTTAAAGAACAGAGACATATAATAAAAAAAAACTTCACGCTAAAATTCAGGTCTATATTTTTATGATTATACCGACTTTCAAGTCATACTTAAGAAAAAATAACATAAATAAACCCAAAAATCATTCTGAATTTCTTTGATTCTTTGAACCAGTCAACGCCGTGTGCAATTTACATAGTTTATCAACATTTAATGGGTTTATTTCTAAACAATGTCACAGAGAAAAAGACTGAATTATGAATACAAGTACTTATGGTACTTAAATATTAGAATTACCTCCACGAACTAATAACTCATTTAATTAATGTTGCTACGACATCGATTGTGTGCTTTTCCAGGAAACTGTTTCCTGTGAAGGATTTATTACAATTTTCTGTCAATGTCAAAATTGCATTGAAAATAAAATTATGTAAATATTCATACAATTATGATGAAATGAGAGGAAAATTGGGAACTTCAACATATTAATCGTAATTTGAAAAACGAAGAATCAATCAATACTTCAAACAAACTGAGCAATAAATTTTCAGTAGCGTTTTACTCCGAAAAACCGGAAGTGAAAAACTCGCATTAAGTAATTCTAGTTCTAACAGTTTCCGTTATCACACGTGTCAGTTATAATGAGAACATGTCATTAATGTAAAACATATTTAATCCATTACGCCGTTCAAGATTAAAGAAACCAAGACAGTGTATGACATTCACAGAAACACTATCGGCGAAACCGAAACATGCAACTCGCCAATAGTGATTAATAAAGTGTACAATTACAATTTTTGTTTTCAAGATTTTTTGATGGATCGTTGGACAGATTAAACATAAACATAATTAGAATTTGCATTTGACTTCTTTTCGTTTTTCTTACTGTTATCAGGAAACGTTTGAAAGATTAAGAACAACCTAAGCAAGTGGACCTGGCTTAAGAAAACATTACTAATAAAAAGCAAAATGGTGTTTAATAGAAAAATCCATTACATACAGGAAATAGAGTAGTATAACAATTAAAAATAACATGCATGCTATCACACAAATCTTAACGTTATAAATGTTATTGCTCTTTTGCATTAAAAAATCTCTTTAATATGGAATGAAAAAGGTGGAAATCGCTGTAGGTTATTATCACCAACAACATTTATTGTATATCATAATGAGTTCAATCGTTTACATTTAATGCACTGCTAGCGAAATGAAATAAAGTTAAATTGTACTTTATATGAGGTCATATAAAGAAATATATTTAATATTTCTGCACCACGTTATTTATAATATGCATTTAATAAACATTGACAAATTGATACATTTCTACCAAACCTAGATAATTTTCGTTTTACGCTAAGTTAAGCCCAATTGGGTATTACATTCTCATTTTAGGCTTTTATTGTTTTGTAAGTTCAAAAGCTTTCAGAAAATATAATTTGCATAAATGTTTATTCCGAAAAAAGCTTTCAACAAATATCTGATTTCATACGAAATCAGTTTATTTCCAAATCGGTGTGCTTGTGAATCTACCGAATAAATTGCACATAAAAAACGAAAGGTTAATTTTCAAGAATTATCTTTATTTTAGATAATACAAAACTGAAAAGTACTGTCACGTATAATTGTTCCCATAACATATTTTTTCTTCACTGGGGGCAATAAATATGTCAAATTGATGTTGCTCTTATTCTTATATTATCAATGAATTGATTTCAAAATAAGCATATTATATAGTGTAAATCAATATCAGTTTATTCATTTTCAACAATACAGTAAATGTTATATCGTATAAATAGCATCTTTGTCTTTTTGCATGAAAAGAGTTACCGTCAAAAAAAGATTAGATACGTAGACCATCATCTTGTATGTGGGCAAATATGCAAGTCATATGAGAGCTCTGATCTTTTAATTATATTTACATTCTAATGATTTAATATATATATATTTATATAGAAATAAACTGGGTAAATAGATTGTATTTAATATATTATTTTCAATGTAAAGGTAGTCAAGACTAGAAAAGTATCTGTGTATATACCAACCTGATTTAACTTGCATTGGTCTACTTAAAACGGAACCAGCAATGTTCCTTGCCAGACATCTGTAAGTTTGTGTATGGACGTCGTCCTGAAAGCTAGTATCATCAAAAGGATAGAACTGGAGAGTATTATTAGAGAGAACTTTAAGCAATCCAGGAACATCATCTACACCAGACCCGTCGTTCTTTATCCAATCTAATGCAGGTGCAGGTTTTCCATAAGCAGTGCAGGGAACAAGAGCACCGTGGGTATTTGCAAAAACTAGAGAGCTGGGAGGTTCTGAGAGAAATATTGGTCCTTGTAGCCTGTTTTCTGGTGATTGTGTCGTAGCCCATCCTGCAGACAGAAGATATAAATAAATTAAATTATTATTTTGTCAGTTTGTCGCTAAAATGCTTTTTTTTAATTCATTTTTTATCATAAAATTTTTAAATCATACTCTTTAAAATAAAATCGTTAAGATGATATTTTGATCATTTTACTTAAATGATTGCATACATTTTTTTTTCAAATTAGATTTAGAATATAACTTTTCTCTTGATTTAATGCGCACAAATGCTTTAATGTATTAGGTAACCCAAGCATATGGCACCTGATGAAGATTATTCAAGAAACATGTATAAGGCACAATGATATTGTTTTCACGCGCTTATATTTCATAAAAAAATCAATTGAATAAAAGGATATATTTGGTATATTTGAAATGTCAACCCATGGACACAAGAATACCTAAATGACAACACGCACTGGCGTAAAAACGGATATTGGTTTAATGAAATTGTCTAATGTATAATCATTTTAAATAAAAGAATATATCCCCATCCTGTATAGCCCCGATTCCTTGTCCTACTTTGGCTTAACCATAAGTTTTTTTTGTTCTTTTTTTCAGCTCTTCAAGATTTGTATCAAATTTTTGATTTTTAAATATTTGGCATCAAGCATCATCGAATACATTGGTTATTGAAATACTAATCTGGAGTGTTAAAATTCGTAACATTATTGTTATAACTAGTGGTCAACATATGGTCTTCAAAGATACAAAACGACGAGTGTCACATCTGGAGCAGGATATGCTAACCCATCTAGAGCACCTGAGATCACCCCAATTGTTTGTTGGGTTCGTGATGCTCAGTCTTTTGTTTTCCATATAGTACCATGTGGATTTATTTGTCTCTTCGTCTTTTTCGTTTGCTTTTTTTCATTATCTGTACCAGACAGCTGGTATATAAAAGCTCATTTCAGTGTTATATTTACAACTATTAAAGGCTTGACCACTGTAATAATCTCCAATAATTGGTTCATTTACTGCATCAGACTACATGCCAAGGCGAATTAATCGGCCCATCATTTATAATTATACAAGTAAATTTGTATAATAAAGTCGGTCCTCTTGGCAACAGATGTCCGTAAAACTAATCACAGAAACCTATAACTATTACTGTACAACTAATAAGTTTAATGATTCAATCTGTGTGACTAATAGATAAATATATAATAAACTCCGCAATTTACAAAAACGTTCTATTATAGAATAACCGGGAAATTCCACATTTTTACATGATATTCTTAATAGCACAAATATCTAAGGAAGTTTTCATTATTAAGCTTAGGTATTCTTTTCTTTTTATTTACAAAGTTATCTAATAAAAACCCCAAAACGGTAACACAAGAACAGAGGAATAATAGAGTGAAATCATTAGCTGAAGTTAATCAATATATCCAGTTTGCAAAGAGTTCTTTTAGATTAATTAAAACATATAAGACCAACAAGAACCAAGCCAAAATTCTTATTATAAAAATGTAAAGTTGTGTGTGGTATGATTGCGATTGAGAAAACTGCCGGCCAGAGATCAAATGACGTAGATGCAAGTTATCATAGATCACCGTATGATCTTCAACAATGAGCTAAACCCAAGCCGTAAAAGCAAGTTATAAAAGGCCTCCGACATGACAAAATATATGATTCAAACGAGAAAAACGACGGTCTGATTTATGTACAAGACAATAAATGGAAAAAAGATGATAGACAGCGACCAATGATAATCACTGAATTACAGTCTCCTGACTTAGAACATTCACATACAGAATGTTTCGGGAATTCACATGGTTGCAAGCACTCAACCCTTCCCTTATCCCCGACCACTATTAATTCATTATTTACACAAATGGAAAATCTGATGACAATTCAATGGTTCAAGCAGTGCACTTACAGCTAGTTCAAACAAACAACTGTACATATGTTTCAAAATGTTAATGCCTTGAATCTATATCTGATATCTGATATAGTTTGTCATAAAAGTTTATGGCAATGTATATTTCTCATGTGTAACAGATGTGAAAATGATATGTACTTCATTCCAATGACGCTAACAGTTTAGTCGATGAATTATATTTTTTCCCCGAGGAAACATTTTTACTCTGACTTTACGATTTATAAGTATGGCCCTATAAAATCAATACAGAACTTAAAAGGGATATGTAGGTAATAGTTTGCCTTACTGCAGTCCACAAATAGACAACTGCATTATTTTTCTGATTTATACTTTATTTAGGATAAAAAATATAGTAACTTTTGTATATATATATATATATATAAATACACTCTTGTGTAGTGTTATTGTGGATGTAAAAAAATCCCTGTTTGCATCATAAAAAGTTATATCTTGTTCAAAACTTTGTTTAAGTTTTCATTAAGCCATCTCCTATGAGACATGTTGATTTTCATATTTTATAATTCTTATATTAATCATACCGATCCTAATATTCTGTGAATTGCATGTCCGATTGTATAAATTATTTAAGGTTATAACCAGAGCTTTAAGCATATGGATAAAAAATCAAGTATTGACCTGACCGTACAAACTTCAATGAACATTTCCATAAAACATATCAGTAAAGCCACTGATAACACGCAATTAATGATTAAATGACATATGTGGACACACTATTTGTCTCTACTTAAACAGACATATTGACCCTCCTTTTGTAATCGCAACTGTGTAAATATTTGCCCACCAGAACCAGGTTAATGTGAGAGCTTTTTATTTTAAAGACATTTTTATGGTATTGGTGTTTCTTTTTATTTTAGCATTTTCATTGAATTTTCATCAGCTCAAAATTATCTGGATATTATTTAGTTTGAATAGCTTTGACATCATCAAATAAAAAAGTCAAACAAATTTGTCTGTTTGGTTTTTCTTTCTTCATTTTGTACACTTTTTCAAATCTACTCTACCTTACAACGTTAAGTTTTATTCTTAAACTAGTAGTTCAAGCTTTGTCGACGAACTCATTAAAATGCTTCCTATTCGATTATACACTCATCGACAAGATATCGTAAAATAAGTAGACCATCAATCAATCAACACTCCATCAAGATAATCTTCTCACTGTGGTAGGCACTTTAATCCTATTAATTTCTACCTAATTTGTCACATATCAATAACACTTCTATAAAAAGTTTAATTTAACCATTCAAAACATTGAACTTTAAATTCCGAGGTAAAACTTAAAACGTACCTGTATAAACCATATTCATTCTACTGTATTATACCCTATATTTACTATCAGCAGTATTGCATTTGTTTCATATATATATATATATAAAATTTTCATCTAATTTAACTTTCTTAAATTGTCCATTTATAAATTAAAAAAATCACAAAACTAAGATTTCAACTACCCCAGGCAACGTTGATCTCAGATGGATTTAGTATTATTTATAGATCCTTTTTTGTCATACAGCCCTTCATCTTATTAGGTTCTTATACGTCCTTGGCTTTCAAATATTTGGCTTTGAGCGTTCCTGATGAAGGTAAATCCAGAAAAGCGCATCGGATGTATGAAATTTAGAAAGTGCTGTTTTCATTTTTTCCTCACATTTTCTAGCTGATTTTAAACAACGTGTGTTTATCGTTACCATTACGTTAATAATCCCCATCCTCACCTTTCTCATTTATAGTGCACAGTAGACAAGGAATAGAGATATATAAATGTGACTATAAACGGATACAAATAATGATATAGTTGTCTGCAAGGAAGTTAATCTCATGAAAGCCTACAAAGTGTCCATTTAACGGAAATTAAGGTAGAACATGTAGAATAATCAACACATCTTCAAACATAAAGAAATGGGAATGCAAAAATCTTAAATAAGCATTATTTGTAGCATTAGATGTAAGGTATAGAGCTGATACATGTAGGCGCTTTATTTTGACTATTGTTTAAAATTAAAGATTGACGAAGAATATAGATTTATTCATTTTATATTAGACTGTGACAAAACCATATTCGATTTCATAATATACAACAACAACAAAAGATAAGAAAGAACAAAAAAAAAAATAGCTATAAATTCATGGATAAGAAATCCGACCTTTTTCTCGTTTGAATTGTTTCGCATTTTTTCATGTTTGGGTCTTTAAGCTAACTATACAGTATGGTTTATGTTCATTATTCAAGGTCATACGGTGGCCTTTATTTTTTACATCTAATTAATTTTTGTCTCTAGAGGAATGGTTGTCATCACTGGCAATCATATCACATTTCTTTATTTTCATATCTTAAAACAATATCATGAATTATTGCCAAAGTCTTTTTTAGGTTTACAACGAAACCAAATATTTTTAAACAGTAGTCTTTTTTTCTTCTTCTTAACGATAGTTTCTATTAATCAACGACAAAGAGTTTTGTAACTAGAATAAGATAAAAACACGTTTTGATAACAAGAGTTTACTTTTAAAAATACTCTTGGTTGAATTTAACATGTTCAAAACAGACCATCTCGTCTCCATTCATTTTTAAATATTCTACGAGTGATGACATTTATCAATATTTGTGCAAAAATCTTTTTGTATAACTAATCTTTAAAGATATCGATAACATCGCCTAATGCCAGCGATATTGCACAATGTTGTTATTACCGGAGAAAGCTGCATACTAACTTTTGGTTTAGTTGCACATGGAATATGACATTACTTTATAATATATACAAAATCATATCTATATTATTGTAATGGTATAAAATGTTATATGAAGTTTATACTTTCCTTTAAAAATGAAAATATCATGTATTTATGTGCGTTAAGCGGGACGAGTTTGAAAGATTGCGCAATGATTTTATAACAGTGAGTTTAAATAAGTTGTGTAACAATTGTTGTTATTCGGTTTGGTGGTTGGTATAATAGGTAGCTGCACGATTTTTTTAGTTATCGAGGATTGAGTAGTGACTTAACCAGCACAGTTTTATAGTTAGTTAGAAGTTTAATTTTTCTTTTACAAAATTATTTTTAATTTTTGTTTTCATATTGTTTAAGTATCTTAAACATGTTGTTTTC